TTGTTTATTCTCTCCATGTTAGCATTTTCATAGGCTTGCTGTAAAATCAGGATGTCTGCTCCCTGGGAATTAGAAATCTGTCTCCTAATAGTTTGTTGTAATCTCGCTACAAATTCTGTGTAAGTTTCCAACAGTGCTTGCATGATTTGAGTGAAAGATTTTGTCACCACACCATCAATGGGCACAGAAGCCCAAGCCTTCTGCAGGAGGTCTTCTGATGAAGGAGTAATGCTAGGCAACAGGCCTGAGTGCTAAATCTGAAAAGTCACCCGTGCCCAATTACCTATCTATAGTAACTTCTTCTCTCAACTGAGCATCTCCCTGAGCATTCTTATAAGCCTGGCCCTGATTAATGAATGCAGTTCCACCTCACAGTGGAAATACTGAGTGGTGGACAGGCACATTTTTGCAAGGTGAAAAACATCATGAGGAACCAGAGAATACGTCCAAAGTACATTGTCCAACAAACCCACTGTCTAGGGACTTTGGAAGCCATTAGTTAGCATGCTCTGCCTGAGGTCTTTAGGATGTTAAAATAAAATGAGGCATGAGCATACATGTCCACCTCTGAGTTGTGAGGATCAGGCAAAATTGAGATAGGAAAGCACAAAGTGTCTCCAACCACCGTGCTCCATGTCACAGCCTTTTGCAGGGTACAGGGATAGGGAGTGGCCCCAGAAGTGGGCTTCACAAGAGGAGCAAGAAGACCTTTCCTAGACCCCCCTGAGGAGCCTGAGGGGCTAGAGAATTAGAGTCCTCCTTAGCTTGCTGCCATGGTGGAGCAGAAGCTGAAGTGAGATGAAAGCAAATGGTGGAAAAAGCCAAACAAGGGGAAGCATGGCCAAAAGGGGGGTGGGGTGGGGGAAGGGTAGCTGAGGTCTCCTGAACTGACTGAAAGAATTTGAGAGCAGAGTGGACCAAGGCCCAAGTGGGTAGCATTCAGGGGAGAAAGATGATCACCCCTTCGCTAGGCTTCACAGAGAACGGTACCTACACATTCCCATGCTATTAAGTTAGTTGTTCCTTCTTGGGGAAAAGATGGGACGTATATTTACATGTCTTTTAACAAACCTATCACAGCCTCCTTCAGTACCGGATACATAGTTGCTTTAACAGCAACTTAAGTAATTTGGCAAAGTTACGCTGCTCTAATGACAGAGACTGACCCATATTTGGAACTCAGCAAAGATAGAAAATTACCCCCAGCTGGACACACTTACCACCAGTGTCCCTGGTCCAAGTCCGGAAACTGTCCTTGGAAATCCATGTGCTGTCTCTTTTACTCCAAGTTTGTCTCACGGGTGAGTTCACCCCTGGATCAGATTCACATCCAAGTTGGGCGCCAAATGTAGGGAGCAGGGAAAGGGGACGTTACTAGAACCTCTGCAGTGAGTCCTAGTCTCATGCAAGCCACAGCAGCACAAGGTGAATTAACTTATACAGGAAACGTAGAAAAATTAGACCTGGAGAAGAAGAAGCTGCGCTTTGGGCCTGGTCAGTGCTGCTCTGGGCATCAAAGATGAAAGCCCCCAGCTTGCTGCAACTTTTATTCAGTACATCGGGAAAAACAAATGTAACAAATGACTCAGAACAGAGAGTTCAGAACATCGACAGAGTTCAGTACATGGGGAGAAACAAATGTAACAGATGTCTGGACAGCAGCAGAATTCCTAGATCAATGAAGATTTTGTTCCTCCAGGATGTCTTCAGCTGGTGTAATCTTGGCTTGGAGCACCACAGCATCACTGGATCTTAGAGGTCTCAGTTGTGAGCAGAGGCCAAAGTGGAGTTATGTCTCGAAATGCCATAGCTGGCCTGTAGGCAGGAGAACTAGGATTTTTCCCCAAAATTATGTAGCATTGGTCTGAGAAGTGACCCAGAATTTGAGAGGTGAACAGTGTTCGTGAGAGGGTGGAGAGAGTAGGGAGTGGGAGGGTTGGAGAAGGCTGATGAATTGTTACTAAGTCATTGTGAGGAGCAGGAAGTGCTGCAGGCTAGGATGACCACAGGTAACAGTGTATAGTGTATTCTTCAAATGGGGGAGAGAATGGATTGGAAGTTTCTACTCTAAAGAAACAATAAATATTTGAAAGGGCAGACTTGTCTAAATTGACTTATTACAGAAACTGTAAGTGTGTGCTTGCATCTGAGTAACTCTTTAATATGTATTTTTTGTACATTTTCATCATCAGTTAAAATCACATTTAATTTTTAAATCTGTAAACACCTTGGCTCCTACAGGCAATTTAATGTCTTCTTCCATAAGACACTGGGACAAGAAAGTGACCTATTCTCAGGGGGAAATCTCTAGAGATCACAGTGGCACATAATTGTCTCCAGATCTCCTTCAGGACTCCAGCTGACAACAGTTGAGAAGGGATGCATTACTGCCTTTGCTATTGGATGTCACTGACCCATCCAAGAGAGAGTCCCTGTCACCAGTGGAGGAGAGCTTCTGACCTGAGGACTGGCTGGGAGCC